CCAGCCCCGCAATGTGTCTGCCTGTTAACCGCTACCCTGATGTGCGGCCTACCGGTATGTGACCGAACCTGCTCTAATCGTCAAACTCCCGATGGTCGCTATGACCTTCTAGTTTAGTCTCCCCCGTAAGGCTCCTCACGCCTTTTCTTTTCCCATCTGGCAATGGTATGGTGATATTGCAGCTCAACCTTGTAGCTTATGTCAAGCAAGCTCGCCGGCCTCGTCGGCCGGCCATGCAAGGCACTGCCATCCCTTCTTGTTAGTTCACTCAGTTTAACCTAGGGTTCCCGACCCGTCCGTTCCTCCCGAAGGGCCGGGGAAGGGATGCCGCCGCCGTCGCGTAATCAGTAGTCATGCCATATGCTCCAGACCACCACCTGCGGCGTACCAACCGCAACCCAAGGCTACCTCGCCAACCGGCTCGAGCCTTCGACTACCTGTGGTGCTCGTTTGGGAGGGTGAGGGATAAAAGAACAGTCATCTTTCGTGATAGCAGTCAACCGGACCACTTCGAACCCCACGTCCCTCCTCGATTCAAACCACCTTACCTGTCCATCACTAGTTCCTCTGCTTCGCTAAGTCTCCTCGTTGAACTGTTGTGCCGTATTTGCCACCTCTTCCTCCTCCAACGCTACCAGATAGCCCGGTTCCTACCTCAAGATAACTCCATAATCCGAAAAATGCAACCCCCTCTGCCGTCCGTCACGCCCACCTGGCGCAACGACACCTACGATGCCATCTCGCCCTCGCGCCCAGAGCTGAGCGCGGCGGGCAAGACTATCATCGTGGTTGGTGCGGTAAGTTCAATATTGATGCCTTCTCCTCAGAACTCTCCTCGGATCCCCCCCCCCCCCCCCCCCTTCCTTAGGTCGCTCCTCGGATCGCGCCCCTCTTATGCCCCTCTTCTTTCCCCTCTTCTCATACTACTACGACCCCACCGCCCTGCTCGTGGTATGATGTATCCGATGGATTGTGGCTTCGGTAAACGGGAGCTCCCCCGGAGAGACCTTCTTGCCCCTGATAACTCCATCTTGTGTGCCGCGCGGTCTTTGAGTCTAATCCGTCTTTTTCTCCAGGGGAGTGGAATCGGTCGAGAGACTGCCCTGGCCTTCGCCTCTGCCGGGGCCGCCCGAGTCATTCTCCTTGGCCGTACCGAGGCCGCCGTGGCCCAGACGGCCGCGTCCCTGCCTACCTCGGTCCAGGCCGACGTGCACGCTGTGGACATCACGAACGAAGACGCCTTGACCAAGGTGGCGGCGGCGGTGGGCCAGTGGGACGTCCTCGTCCTGACTGCCGGTTATGTGTCCAGCCCCGCGCCCGTGGCGGCATCGGCCAGCGACGAGTGGTGGCAGAGCTTCGAGGTGAGTCCCTCATGCCCTGCTCCCCACGGCTTTGGTTCCGATCCATCGCTCTGGGCGGGGGAGAGAGATGGACACCTCCCCACCGTCCAAGCCCTTCCCCAAGCAATTCAACTCACACAGCACGTGGTAGACAAACACAAAGGGCACGTACCTCGTCACAAAGGCCTTCCTCCCCACGGCCAACCCCTCCCACGCCGCCGTCGTTGCCCTCACCACCGGCACGACGGCCCTACCGGCAGTGGCGCTCCCTGGCCTATCCGCTTACATGGCGTCCAAGCTGGCCCAGACGAAGATCATCGAATTCCTCGCCGCCGAGAACCCCAACCTCTTCGCGGCCACCCTTCACCCGGGCATGGTCGAGACCGACATCTTCAAGAAGAGCGGTGCCAAGGCCGAGGCGCTCCCAATGGACAAAGGTGCGTCGTAGTCGTCTTCCACTTCGTTCTTCTCCTCCTCCCCCTCCTCCCCTTCTTCCTCCTCCTTCTCCTCTCTGATCGTGTCTCTTGCTTTCCCCTACTATCGCAGTGCATCTCCCAGATCAAATCCCTCCGTCTCCTTCCTGTTTGTTGTAGCTGCTTGCGCGGGGCAAGCAATATGACTGATTGACTGACTAACGTACCTTGTTGCAGTGCAACTCCCGGCCCACTTCACCGTCTGGTTGACCAGTCCCGAGGCGGCGTTCCTGAGTGGCCGCACGGTTTGGGCGAACTGGGATGTTGAAGAGCTTAAGAAAAGCGCCGGGGCAATCCAGTCCGGTCAGCTGCTCACGAGCGGGATCAACGGATGGCCCTACACAAGTCTTGCGTGATATTTCTGTGGTAAACTTGTTCGCAAAACTCGGGCTCATGTTGTAGCAGTAGCAAGCAGTAAAGTACCCACTCAATGAATCGTAGGGGTAAAGCACTTCATCGCTCAATGAATCAGCGTTTTGGAGACATGCAGCACGAAGGAACAAACCACGTCCAGGTGATTTAAAATCGCATTACTAGTGGAGGTTGTTCAACCCTTCGGCGGTTCAGTATATAAGCTATTATGCATGTGTGTTTAGGTTTCTGCACGTAACGTAGCCCGCTCATCTCAATTCGAAACACAGAGACAAGGGTCCCGGGTTTGATGTAAACTGGTCCCTGATTTCGTCAAAGACGCGGTTTCCCGTCTCTCCTGGTGCCAGGCGGATGTGGTACTTCTTGATCAGCCTCGCAACAACGAACCGCATGGTGTCTGTGGCAAGGAAGCGTCCCAGGCAGCTGTGGTGACCTAATAATAGAAAGGAAAGAAAAACACGGCTTAGCTGTTGAGTCATGAAGGTAAGCTAAAGGGGTTCACCGTACCTGTGCCGAATGGCGCAAAAGCTGCTGCATTGCGGATCATTTCCGGCTTGGTGGTCCATCTCTCGGGGACGAAGTCATTGGCCTTCTCAAAACAGTCCTCTCCTGCAGATCGAATAGTTAGTCAAAGTTTAAAAAAGACAAAAACCCACCACCGCTACTTACTTCGAGATATCACGTGGCGCGGGGCGATGATGGTCGTGTTAGGCGGTATAAACGTCCCACCGATCGCCGCCCCGTTTTCCGTCGTCTTCCTGGCCCCGCCCGTGAGGAGGGCGGGGTACAGACGGAGACCCTCGTTAATGACGGCGTTGAGATGAGGGAGGCTGGTGAGGACCTTCAGGTTGGTCACGTCGACGTCTTCCAGTTCCGCGTAGACTTTGTCGGCATGCTCCGGGTGCTTGGCTATCTCGCAAAAGACGCCGATGAGAGCGGCAGCTGTAGGTTCGCTGTGTCGTTTTAGCTTCCGAACGCCCAGGGGAAAGAGAGGGGGGTACGCGTTACCTTCCAGCCACAATAGCAAGCAGGCTGTCGCCGAAAATCCACGTCAAGCTGTCAGGCTGCTCAGTCTGATCGTGGTGAAGCTCCATCAGGTAATGGGCGAGATCCGGCGCGCCCGCCTTCGGGGTCGCAGGGTCAAGTCTAACACGCATCTGTCGCTCGCACCAGGCAACCATGTCAAACCAGTCCTTGAGGACGCTGACCCGTGGACCGAGCTTGAAGCCGACCTGGATCAGCCATGGAGCCGGGCTGAACGGGCCCAGGAGAGACAGGGCGCGTTGCAGCCGCACAATGATGTGATGCCACTGCTGCTGGTGCAGCATGTCAAACGACTTGCTAAAGACAAAGTCGCCCATGACGTCGAAACCGAACCAGAAGAACAAGTCGCGAACTTCGGAAGGGACATTGGCTTTGGCATTCGCCTCGATGCACATGTCGAGCTGCTCAATCCACTTGAGGATCTTCGTCTCGTGCTGGACGAGGGCTACATAACGGCGTGGCTCGTTAGAGATACATTCGCAATGCCAAAGGTTCCGCGGGTTGCATACCTTGTGCCGAGAAACCATAGTTCCACTCACGGCGCCTAGCAGCGTGGATAGGCTTGACGCGTGTCGTAACGAGCGCTCTGTCGGGGTGCAGAATGTCGTACCACTCGGCCTTGATGCATTCGGATCGGGGACCATCCACAGCCATGAAGACTCCCGGGTGGAAGACGGTGATCTCACTGGGTCCTTTTTTTTCTACTTGTGAGAATGCGCCTTAAACAAAGAATCATGTGTCAGTCCACTTACCTGTCCTCACGAAATCTCCATATTGCTCATGCAAACTCTCCAAGACCAAGTGGTTCTTGCAGTTTCTGCAGGCCCAGACATGCCAGAGCTTCGTGATGCGGGCGTACCACGGACCCTTGAAGCCGGCGGTGCTGAGCTGATGGAAAAAGACTCTGTATAAGGTGATGCTGGCAAAGAGGCCAGGAAGATATCCGGAAGACAGAATCAGCAGCGAACGAGAGAGCTCCCCGATCGTAGTGCCACCGTAGTATCTGCTCAGACCTGCGAAACAAGCAAAGAGCCACAAGTGACCCAACAGAATCTGAGGTGCCTGTACGTGCCATTCGCCATGGATGAAGATTCCCCGATGGACAGCAAAACCGCACAGAAGTCCAAGGCCGCAGAAGATAGCGTCCTGGTAACCGGAACCGAAAACTACATTCATCATGGAGTTCATGGCGAATGCATGTGTGTGTGTGCTTGAGAGATTCGTTGAAGCTCAAATCTTACCGACTGGCGATCTGCGAGTCTATCACTTGGGCATAAGACTGCACTCGAGCTCAAAGTCGGTTTACATACACCAGCTATGCTATCATCGAATCCGGCATGGCTCTCCCTTCCATGATTGGGTCCAGTCTAGACTCACTACCCGGTGGCAACCTGAGAAAAGCCGAATGCCACATACAATGACTAGTGTCCATTAGTTGAGGTGTAAGCTAGCGTAATCTGGCACAGTCTGCGTTGTCCATCGCTTCACCGCGGAAGGTCGTACTGGTTGATGTGAAGTACAAGCCAATATCGCGACGTGATACCCATGGGTCATCCCGATAACCTTGACATCCGGATACCCGACCAGGCCCTCTCCTGGTCATGCCACCGATCAGGGGGGGCAAGAAAGTGTGAGAGGGTCTTCGCCCCAAAACGTTAGACCCCTGTTGCATAAGGACAGACATACGGATGCAACTCTGCAATGGAACGTGCTTTCAACGGTGCCAAAAATGGCTGGTCGGCGCAACATCATGTCTGTGCAATACGGTGACGCGGGGTGATGCTGGGAGCATCCTCAGTGCTATGGAAACTGAGTGTTTTACCGCAATTGTACACGTCTCGAGATAGGGGTGCTTTGCCATGATTTAACACTGGCGGGAGCTCCAACGTTCTCCTTTGCTTCCGTAGACTCACTTGCTTGTGTCAATCTATATCACATACTTGTTCTGAAATGACTGCGACGTACGACTTTATCATTGTGGGCGGTGGCGTCGCCGGTTTGGTAGTGGCGACACGCCTGTCTGAAATCCCCGAGCTCCATGTTCTGGTTCTCGAGGCGGGTGAAGACCAAACGGCGGACCCTCGGGTCAATATCCCCGCACTGGGTCCCAGTCTTGTCAAGACGCCTTCCGACTGGCAATTCCGGACAGTGCCCCAGGTGAGTCTCTCTCGAAAAAATGTAGTCTTGGAAAGTCTGGGTTGCTGACAGGAAGTCGTCTGCAGAAAGGCCTAGGTGGTCGAGAGGTTGTCGTTCCTCAGGGTCGCCTTCTTGGTGGCTCAGGTGCGCTCAATGGTCTCTCCTTCACAGTCACCACAAAGGCCAACGTTGAAGCGTGGGCCAGTCTGGGCAACCCCGGTTGGGACTGGCCTACCTTCAAACAGGCCACCGAGAAGACTTACTCCATCGCACCTGGCGAAGGAAAGGGTCCTCTCAAGTTGTCTCTTCCAGACAACGCAGACTCTCTCTGGCCAACGGTCTGGCAAGAAACCATCCGCGGGTTAGGGTTTCCGGACTCGTGTGATCCCTTGAGTGGCCAAGGAGTCGGCAGTAGCATCACGCCTGACACTGTAGACCCCGAGACAAAGCAGAGAAGCTATGCCGGCAGCGCGTACGTCCAGTCTGCCAAGTCTCGGCCCAACCTGACTGTTGTGACGGGAGCGCTCGTGGAGAAGATCATCTTCAAGACAGACTCTGGAGACATTGTCGCCGAAGCTGTCCAGTACACCAAGGGTAGCGAAACGAAAACAGTCACGGCACGAAAGGAGATCGTGTTGAGTGCTGGAACGCTCAACTCGTCACGACTCCTCGAGCTTTCTGGCGTCGGCAATGCAGAGCTTCTCTGTGGACTCGGCATCGACGTTGTGCTTGACAATCCCCACGTTGGCGAGAACCTTCAGAACCACGTCATGGTTGGCGCAAGCTTCGAGGCCCTTCCGGAACTCGACACCATGGATGGCATCGTCCGTCAGGATCCGGCAGCTGTTGGAGCTGCCATGGAGACGTACGGCAAAGGCGCCGGAGGACCGTTCTCCAGAAGCGGTACTTCGGCGACGGCGCAGCTCCCTTTGCCGGCGGGTGAGGATTTGGGTCAGCTTCTCGACAAGCTAGATGGACCCAAGACATCGGCGACCCCGGCTTTCACGAAGGCTCTTGAGACGTATGTGCGGTCCGTCCTGACGTCGTCCTCAGAGCCTTCGGGATACTACATCTCGTTTCCCGGGTTCGCCTTGTTTGGCGGAGATGGCCACATGGCACCGCCGCCTCCTGGCGAAGAGAAGTACTTCACGATTGCTGCCATCCTCGCTCATCCCCTCTCGCGAGGTTCAAGTCACATCACGTCTGCATCGTTGGAGTCGCCCGCCGTGGCCATCGACCCCGCCTATCTTTCACACCCTGTTGACGTCGAAATTTTGGCCAGGCATCTCCAGTTCCTGGAAAAGATTGCGGCTAGTGAGCCGCTTCGCAGTCAGCTGAAGGCGGGAGGAAAGCGCGATCCGGCCAATGCCTTGTCTGATCTCGAGCAAGCCAAGGAGTTTGTACGCCAGACCGCAGTTGGCGCGCACCACTTCACGGGTACTTGCTCCATGATGCCTCGTGAACTTGGCGGAGTGGTCGATGAGAAGCTGCGCGTGCATGGTATCCGTGGCTTACGGGTGGCTGACGCCTCCATTGTTCCCATCACGGTGCGTGCCAACCCGCAGGCGACAGTGTATGCGATTGGCGAGCGTGCTGCCGAACTGATCAAGGAGAGTCTCTGAACAAGGTTCGAGATGTGAGAAGAAGTTGTGCCCAGGACCGACATGGGCCATGGACGCGAGTCAAGATAGCAACCGTAGATGCCAATGCAGTGTAACGTCCAGAAGCCAGATGAAACTAATCCCGCTCTTGTCAGTGCAAGTATTTCCAAATATAGGCGAGACGATACCCGGAGTCGGCAATCGGGCCTATCGTTGGCAAAGAACAGACCCTCAGCTGCGCGTCATTGTCAAAAGAAATGATGATGATCCTGCGTGAAGAGGAAAAAGAAAGTGCATTTCTGGGGAAGTCGTATTTGCAAGGTACCTTACCATGTACGTCACCAGAGATCTGCTGACAAGCGGTGATTGGCAAGCGTCTGTGCCATTTGTTTAGTAGCTGTTGGACGCGTCCCTTAGCGAGTTTAATGGGAAAAGTCGCAGTACCATTTTTCCTGCACCGATTATAGCCAAAAGATATGTACCGATACTTTACACGTGACTGCGAGCTTACCTCGCGTGCTGCTCCGCCCGGCCGCGTCGCTAACATTTTCGCGTCAAAATCGCCTCCGATCTGGATTGTCCACACTTGCACCTCGTCGCTTTACTCAAACAAACACTTCGACAGCCCACGAAATTTCGCCACACGTATGCCTTAACATTGAATCCGAAGCCCACTGGCTCTACACCCCTCGATTGCAAGCTTCAGACGCCTGCCATGTCTGACTCAAAGGGCTTATTCTCAGAATGCGCCTTCGCCTTCGTACCGAGCGCCTACTTGGCTCCCAAGGAGATCAGCGACCTAGCAGAAATAATCAAAGGCCGTGGCGGCACCGTCCTGGACCCGAGGCGCGATGGCTCCCTCAGACTTGAGGCGGTTTCTCACATCGTTTCCAACACCATCGATTTCCCCCAGTTCACCGAAACACAAGCCTTCATGATCCCCGTCGTCAACCCTGGTTGGATCAAGGCATCGATCCAGAGGAATAAACAGGCCCAAGTGCGGCCCTTCTCCCCCGACCCGCGCATGTTCTTCTCCAAAGTAATCCTCACCTGTGCCGACCTTCCTGAAATCGATAAAGAGACCATCATCGGTGCCACCTTGGCCATGGGCGGTACGGAAACCGCCGATGTCACCCGGCAGACCACCCACATCTGCGCCTTGACCATGGATCATCCCAAGTGTATCACCGCAACGGAAAAGGGACTAAAGTGCAAGATCGTCCTGCCTCACTGGTAGGCTTGGTGAACCCCAAGCTTCGGACTTCATATCAGCTGACGCTTCCTAGGTTCGAAGACTGCTTCAAGCTCGGCAAAAGAATCGACGAAGGCCCATACACGCTCCCGGACCCCGAAATCCTGCGCAGGCCGGAAAACCAGGGCGAGGTGCAGATCCCCCAGTACGACCACCTCCAGGGAGCGACCTCCACTACCCCGAATCACCTTACCGACGCCCCCCGAAGGGCGGCCACTATATTCCGAGACAAGAAAGTCATGCTTTCGAAGGACCTTAGTATCACCACACGATCACTAGAGGTTATCAAGCAGCTAATTGCGAACGGTGGAGGCAAAACCGTGGACGACGTGGAAGCGTGCGACTACTTCGTTTGCCAATACCGCGACGGGGAGCAGTATGTCAAGGCTGCCCAGTCGGGCAAGGATGTCGGAAATCTGTCATGGCTCTACCACCTCATCACCCATAACGAATGGACGTCACCTCTCCGTCGGCTCCTCCACTACCCGGTACCCCGAGACGGCATCCCGGGCTTCCGAGATCTCAAGATCTGCCTCTCCAACTACGGTGGTGATGCTCGCATATACCTGGAGAACTTGATAAGAGCATCCGGGGCGACGTACACCAAGACCATGAAGGCAGAGAACACACATCTCATTACGGCACGGAGCAGCAGTGAGAAGTACGAGGCAGCCAAGGACTGGAATATCGAGACGGTCAACCACCTGTGGATCGAAGAAAGCTACGCCAAGTGCGAGATGCAGAGGGTCACCGTGCCCAAATACTCTCACTTCCCGGTTCGCACGAATCTGGGCGAGGTTATCGGCCAGACCTTTTTCGACGAGTACTGTTTGCGAGAGACCTACTACCCTGGTGGCGAGGAGGGGATGTCGCCGCGAGCGCAGAGGAAGCGCAAGATCCTTGAGGCAGCACAGGAAAACTCGTACAACCACGGACCTGCCGAGGGCGTTGTCATCGGCAGACAGGAGCAGAAGAGTGAGGAGACCGTGATTGATGACAGCTTCATGACGCCCATCCGTCCCGGAAAAGGCGGTCGTGGTAAGGAGAACGATGATACCCCCTCGGTCGTTTCGACCGGTAGCCGAAGTGCAAAGAGCAAGGCTCTCAGCAACCTTCAGCGCATAGCCCCAGACATCGCTCTGTATGAGAAGGAAAAGAAGCGAACCAAGGACGGCCACGGCCCGTGGGGTGGCAAGCGTGCTGCCGACCAGATTGACAAGGAACGCGGACGCACGTCTAGCCCGGCGCAGGCCATGGATATCGATGACGAGGACAAACGGCCCGCCAAGAAAAGAAGATCTTCGCGCCCAGACGTTGAGATGAGAGTTGTCTTGACTGGCTTCACGAGATGGGTCAACGGCAAATCCAAGGAGGACGCGGAAAGGGTAGGTCAAGCGGTCTTTCCGGGCATTCGTTTTCTGTGCTAACAACTCGCAGAGAAAACTCCGCGACATGGGAATCTTGATTGTGCAGGACAATCAGCCATGCGACTATCTCGCTGCCCCTCACATGGTACGGACGGTCAAGTTCCTCAAGACGCTGGCCAAGGGGCCGACGATTCTCTCATCCGACTTTATCGACGCCGCCCTTGACACGGGGGAGGTCCCGGATCCCGACGAATTCCTCTTGGACGACAAGGAGAATGAGAAGAAGTTTGGCGTCACAATTGAGACGGCGGTATCGAGGGCAAGAGCCAACCTGGGCAAGCTTCTGTGGACCGTTCCCATCTATTGCACAGCCAACATCTGCAACGGTCCCGACAGTTACAAGGCCATTGCCGAGGCGAACGGGGCCATGTTCAAACTGTACCGCGCGCGCAGCGGCACGACGATCAAGCCGACGACGGAGGAGGAAGACGGCGGCGCCCCACCCGAGCCCGTCTACCTCCTCAGCTCCAACAGCGCCGACGAGAGATCCCTTTGGCCCAAGTTTGAGGAAATGGCGCGCAAGGGCCACATGGAGCCACGCATTGTCGCTGCTGACTGGCTCTTGGACGTGGCCATGACACAGCAAGTGTCGTTTGACGAGAAATACCTTGCCAAGAACTTTTTCGATAAGGACGTGTAGATGTTGGATAATTGACAGGGCTGTTCAGCAGGCATCGCGACTTGCTGGTTCTGGCCGTACATGTATATACTTGCACGCGCTGGCTTGGGAGTTGGATGATCCATCGGGAAAGGGGGGGGGGAGGGGAAAGGGGAAGCCGCTGCATTTGGGGGGGGGGGGGGGGGGGCTTTTGGTGTTTATTACGGCCGCTCGGGGAATAATGTGTCAACGTGGTATGTCTAGTTAGAGGTTCGGCACAATAGCAAACAACAAAAGAAGACCATGGCTCGTCGGTTGCCGAGCGAGAACGAGCAAATCAAAAGAACTTGACACCCTGCGAATCTTCTTGCCCGAAGATCTGGGCCTTGCCGCGCTTGACGAGGATCTGCAGCGCCTTGGCGAGCAAGTCGGGATCGAGGCCGTGGAATTCTGCAGGGCAATGATAACCGGGTCAGCACGCGGCCGTCGTTGTCGCTTCGCGGGTCCCGCGAGGGAAAAGGGGGGGTTTACTTACCGGTCCCCCTGGTGCTCTCGCCCTCGGTCAGCTCGTAGAGGGTCAGGACGACACCCTTCTGCGCCGTCTCGTCGATCCAGCCCTCGACGAAGGCGGCCCACTCGTCGGGGGTGCGCCAGTAGACCCAGAAGACATCGGTGCCGGCGGGCAGGGCCTCGGCGCGGCCTTCCTTGCGCATGAATTCGAGGACCTCGCGGGCGTCGGCGAGCGACAGGCGCTTGTTCAGCGCCCTGTTGTGGAAGAGCTCCTCGGGGGCGGCGGCGGCGGAGGAGGCGGCGGTCGCGGGGGAAAAGGTGGTTGGCTGCTCGGCGAGCGCGGAGGGGGCGGCGGCGCTGTGGTTCGGCAGGGCGTGCGGGAGGGCGGAGGAGGCGGAGGGGATGGCGGCGCCGAGAGAGAGCTTGAAGATGCGGTGGTGGCGGCAGTAGGCGAGGATCAGGTCGGACCACTTGACGAGCTGGGCGTGGTGGGTTGTCAGGTTCGTTTGGCGGGTGAAGAAGGGCGGGAAGGAGTACTCCCGCGGGAAGGGGAAGGGTGATGTCGTCGCCATTTGTGCGTCGCAATGGTGGTTGTGTCGGGGTTTGTGGTATATTTTAGGATTGAGAGTTGTAGCTGGAGCTTCGGGGGACGGGGACGTCACTCTTCGCGGGGGTGGGAGTGCAGGCACCCGAGGGGTTGGTGGGGGGCATTTTAGCATTTGGCTGCGGTGGTAGGGGGGGGGTCTGTACTCTGAGGTGGTGGCCAGAGTTCGTCCATGTGTCTCTCTAGGTAGGTAAGGTATCTTCCGGAGGCTTGAGTCAACGATATTTCCACCACATAGTTCAACAATGGCATTGTATTCTTTTCTAAAAATGGATGACATCCCTAGCATGTCCCGCCATCACCAATCAACCTATATGTCCTGTTTGCGGATGATGCGCTCTTGGTCAAGGTTGTGACCTTGAGTGACGGATACGTAAAGGGAAAAAATAAGGAAAACCTGCTATGACCTCTGAAAATTATGGCCGTGCATGATTCTGATCACTTGCATACTGTCAAAGAAAACAGGTATCAGAGAACTCGACTGTACCGAGTTGAATAACTCGGATGGATGGCGTTATGCCTCCCAAACAGTATCACTTCAATAAAACACACCATATGTGTATCCTCTCGGTGACCATTAGTATTGCTACTATCTCTACTCTTTGGATGTGTCTAATAACTCCTAGGCAACTAACAACGAGAAATTAAAGGGCTCAGCGTATGAACAACCTTTGGTGTCAGCTGGCTCAGACACGTTGTTCTTCACTTTTCCCCGCGAAATATTCATCATAACAATCTCTTCAGACAAACCGCGAACCCTGGGGTATTTGAGCTTCTTCATCAACACATCTCCCTCTGCACACTTGATTCTTAGCCCTGCCACCAGTTTCATTGGCCAACACGAAGCAGAAGATGGCACTAACTAAAGACGACTTAGTTCCTACGACGCAGACGCTTTGTCTGAACTTCCGGGCTTGAGTCCGAGCTCGAGCTCGAGCTGGAGCTGGAGTCGTCAGTAAGCAGATGCTTGTGTCCATACTTGGAGGCCTGCGGAGGTCTTTTGGTCGGCACCAGACTAGGTTTCCGGGTACCAGGCGGAGACGGCTTAGGCAGTGGTATAAGGTCAGAAGGAGTCAGTCTCGGCATTTGCAATGTGCCATGTCCCTCGGGGAGCAGTACAACACCCTGCCGGTCGTACAGCAGGCCGACTGCGGTTTCCTTTGCGCGTCGACCCTCTGTCAGGAGCTTGTTTCTCACAAAGCTCACCAGGTCAATGGGAGGAATGGCTGGCGGGGCGCCGCGTCGAACCAAGTGGTCGACCCAAGCAGCCAAAACCGCCCAGGCCTTCCATTTCATAGCTGTGTGCTCTTCGAGCAAGTACGAGTGCTTCGCCTGCTCAGCGACCTGAGACTTGAAGAGTTTGACGTGGATAGAGGGGGGAGATTTGGTAGATTCGATCTGGACATTTAGCAGATGGCTCAGTCGATCGATATAAGGGTCGATGTGAATAGCGGTGTCCATCTTGGAAGGCAGAAAAACTTGCCAAGGGCCACAGCTGCCCAGCTGAGGCAGCCTCTTGATGCTCCCGGTCGAAGTCGTGTAGATCCAGTCCTCATGAGGCTTGTCATCGAGCCAAGCTCGGGTCTCCTTGCAGAAGGGTGCGGCAACTCCAGGATGGACCGGTCCAGTCATGGGCTTCGTTATCTTCATGGGGCTAACGGGCCTACGTCCGCCCTGCATGTACTGGTCGGGTTGCAACAGAGGAATAGATGACGGGACAGCCAAAAGGTCGAGAATCAGTTTGGGGCCCGAAATTGACGCTGGCTGGTGCCTGGAGACTGACTTTGGCTCGACGGTGACAGACTGGGGCTTCGTGGTGGCAAATTGACGAACTCCAGAGCTCCTGGTAGGAGGCAAGTTGGTTGTTGTTCCCGACCCGGAAACGGCCGAGGGGGCAGTGGCAGAAGCGTTGCTGTGAACAGCCAGCCTGGCGGGGCGGGCAGTAGTCTGCTGCATTGGCAGGTTAGAAGAGGATATCTGGGATCGCGAAGATATCCTCGAGGCTCCTACCGAAAGAGCGCAACGCAGCTGGGAGGATGGTCGAGGGGTGAGAGCGGAAACCTCCTCCTCCGCTTTTACTTGGACATCTTCCTCTCCCCTGTTCATCGAAACGTCGGCTTCTTCAACCTTTACCGGGTTATCCGACACTTTATTCTTGACTTGGACGTTCATAGTGCTTGTAAGACGTTCCATCTGTATTTCGGGGTGGGATATCTGCTACTCTTGGGTTAGTTCTTGATGGAATAGGAGATGGGCATGCAATGTGCTTTGTATCGTACATCGGCAGACGTGCTATGAGTGCCTGGAATGCCTCAAGAAATATTAGACTCCAAGACTGAACTTATCGAGCATGGATCTGTGATAATACCAAAGGAAGCAGCTGTGGGATCTGTCGAATCGTTTTTGTTGATGAATCGATGGCGCTGATCGTACGCGTCAGACTTTGACCGTGTTTGCTCGAGGGACTGTTTGTGTATTTTGTTGCTTGGAGACAAATGGATGTTCACCTTTTTGTTTTGAATTGTTTCGGGTTGTTTGGTTTGCCGGGTAAGGGCATGGGATGTCAGGCGGGTAGCGGAAGCTACGGTGAGGAAGCTTCACAGCACGAAAATGATGCCAAGACTTCATTCTTGGTTCTGTGGGATTTCTGATAAGAAGGTAGCAGATGAAGAAACAACAATGTGCAGAGAACCAAGGCGGTTGAATTGTGTCTTGATTTCTCGGGACTCAAACAGATCCATCGCATCCTGCCTTTTTTTTTGTGAAGGTTTCAAAAGCATGCTAGGCGAGTTGTTTGTCCTCGACTTTTCGAACCTTTCTCTGGCCCTCTAATGGGAAGTTAGGCAAGTACGAGCATACAGAGTTCCCCCGTCAGGCAACTGACAAACGAGGTTGGAATACCAAGCTTGGCTACTGCTGAATCCACAGCTTCCTGGGACGGTAAAAACCACACTCTTATTTCCTTTAACTTACCCGTCCTTAGATCCTCAGCCCCATGCATGCATAGGGGTGGTTACTACCACTTTGATACTGGCTAGGAAGGAATCAAACCAGAAGACCAGAACTACGAGGTCACAATTCTAAAGCGGATGTACTACTCATTTGGCCCGTTCCCACCATCAACCATTAGTATCCTTGACCCCGAAACCTTCGATGTCATCCACTTCCTTAACTAGCAAGGACCTCCGCATAGGTCACTTGAACGGTGGTCGACAAAGGAAATTCCCTTCTGCTGACAACAATTTCATAAGGCGCATCTCAGCACTGGACCATCGATATAAGCCGAAAGTGGACGAGAGTCTCGAGGATAAATGGGTTATAGAGAACTCGGACGATACTCGGGAATCTATACCTAAGGGGGGCGAGCAGTTCTGCTCACCTTTGCTTTGCTTTGCTTAGCTTTGGCTTAGGCTAAAGCGGCCACAGATCTGTCCCCATACTGAACGTGGATTCAGGACAAAGTTCATGGTTATCTAGGTAGTTTAACATCAGTAGGATGGAGAACTCACTTGGTAGTTAAAACCCTGAACGTGCCCCAGCGTCCCATGCCCCCACCAAATGCACCTCGGATTCACGCAGCGAGAAGAGACCCTTTCCCCGAAAATCCGCCAGGAAACCAACCGCATCGTCGGCTCTCGCTCGCAGACGGATAGAACGAGAAACCGATATCCCAGCCTGCCCCCCCCCCAGCATGCGCCCCCGAACCCTCCCCAGGATATCTCTCCTTCTCCCGAGGTCGTTCGCCCCGAGTAGCAGCGGTAGCAGCAGGAGGCTGGCAAACGTTAACGGCAATGCGACGTGTTGGCGGCGGCCCACATGGATGCCACCGGCGCCAGGGACCTGCCGGTGTCGCATCCACGGCCGCGGAACCGCCGCTGCTGCTAGTCGCGCGCAGCAGCTTCGCCAGCAGCCTCCAAAACCCCTCAATTGTTCCTCCAATGAGCGACCGCCGCCCGCTTCTGACATCATCCCGACCGCCGGAGCCAAGCTGGGCCCGCCGCCGCCGCCGCCGCCGCCGCCTCAGTCCGTTCGAAATTGGTCGCAGCCGACGACGCAGGGCCAGACCCCGGACGGGCACGAGCATAAACACGACAAGACGGGAGATGCGGAGGCAGATACCAACCCCCCACGAGCCAAACCTCCTCGTGATACTCGCCCGTCCCAGACCTACGGGACGACGTTGACTAGGCGTCCCCAGAAGACCTCTTGTCAACCTATCGGAGCCGTCAATGGCCAACCTCGGCCGACGATAGCATACTTAGCTAGGCAGTCAGTCATTCCAAACACCATACACACACACACGGGGGGGAGAGGGAAGGCAATGGCTGTTCTCCCTTCCCCCTCCCCCCCCCCGCACATGTGTTCCGTTGCAATTCCATGCCCTTTTCCACGATCCTGACCTGTCCCTGCTCATTGCCCCGCCACCTACGCTGGTTTCTACGGGCCTTTCCCATGGACGAATCAACATTGTCTCCCGCAGCCCCCATCGTCGATTTGTTCTTCTACGCGCGATACTCTTTTGCCCCCTCCACTGCTTTTCCAGTAAAGCCCCAATTCAACCTATAGCTCTAGCCCTCGAATCCCATTACATGCATCTCTTGCCATCTTCAACATAACAAACCCCCCTTCCCTCTCTCCCTTCTCCTACTCACCATCTCCGGCCACAGAAATCCCCGTGGCGACCGAGACAACGGCGCAATGGCCGAGACAAGAGACTCCAAACGCCTGCGCCGGGCCGCCGACCCGGCCGAACACCTTCCCACCGGCATCACCGAGACCCAGGAGGAGCTCAAGGAGCACTGGTTTGTCGGCAGCATCGACCAGGGCACCACCTCGACGCGCTTCATCATCTTCAACGGCCTCGGCGACCCCATCGCAATCCACCAGATAGAGATCGACAACCACTACCCGCACTCGGGGTGAGTCGAGCCTCCCCCCTCTTTCTCGGTCCAGGGACGCGGCGATCCTGGCGATCGGCCCCCTCTAACACCCAGCCTAGATCGCACGAACACGACCCCCTGGAGCTCCTCTCCTCCGTCGAGGAGTGCATCGAAAAGGCCACGGCCAAGTTTGTCGCCCAGGGCCATGCCGTCTCCGCCATCCGCGGCATCGGCATCACAAACCAGCGCGAGACCACTGTCCTCTGGGACACCCGCACAGGCGAGCCCCTCCACAATGCCATCGTCTGGTCCGACACCCGCACCACCCCGATCGTCCGCGAATTCCGCGCCCGCCCCGGCGCCGACAGGCTCCAGGGCCTCTGCGGCCTGCCCCTCTCGACCTACCCCTCCAGCGTCAAGCTCCGCTGGCTCCTCGACAACGTCCCCGCCGTCCGCGAGGCCTACGACGCCGGCCACCTCGCCTTCGGCACCGTCGACTCGTGGCTCATCTACCGCCTCAACGGCGGCGCCGCCCTCGGCGACAAGGCCGTCCACATCACCGACTCGACCAATGCCAGCCGCACAATGTTCATGAACCTCCGCACGCTGCGGTACGACGACGAGCTCCTCTCCTTCTTCGGCATCGACAGGTCCAAGATCCGTCTCCCCAAGATCGCCCCCTCCTCCGACCCGACCGCCTTTGGCACCCTCGCCGGCGGCGTCCTCAAGGGCGTCCCCATCGCCGGCTGCATCAGCGACCAGTCCGCCGCCCTCGTCGGCCAGTGCGGCTTCTCCCCCGGCCAAGCCAAGAACACGTACGGCACCGGCTGCTTTCTGCTCTACAATGTCGGCGACGAGCCCGTCTTCTCAAAGTCCGGCCTCCTGGCGACCGTCGCCTACGACTTTGGCAAGGGTCGCAAGCCCGCGTACGCGCTCGAGGGCAGCGTCGCCGTCGCCGGGTCTGGCGTCAAGTTCCTGATCAATAACCTCTCCTTCGCCGACGACGCCTCGCGCATCTCCGAGCTGGCCGAGACGGTCCCCGATAACGGCGGCGTCGTCTTCGTGACGGCCTTTAGCGGCTTGTTCGCGCCGTACTGGATCGACGACGCCAAGGGCACGCTGTGTAAGTAGTCCCCCATCTTTCACACACACACACACACACACTCTCTCTCTCTCTCTCTCTTTCTGTCTCCCTCCCCATTCCCCTTTCCTCTCTGGCTGTAAGCTAACACCAACTGCGAAGTCGGCATCACAGCGCACACCCAAAAGGGCCACATCGCCCGCGCGACCCTCGAGGCGACGTGCTACCAGACAAAAGCCATACTCGACGCCATGGCCAAGGACTCGGGCCACGCCCTCGAGTCCCTCGCCGTCGACGGCGGCCTCTCCAACTCGGACCTCTGCATGCAGACCCAGGCCGACGTCAGCGGCATCCGCGTCGACCGCCCCGGCATGCGCGAGACCACGGCCCTCGGCGCCGCCATCTCCGCCGGCCTCGCCCTCGGCGTCTGGGACGAGCTCGGGGACCTCGAGCACGTCAACCAGAGCGGCCGCAAGATCTTCACGCCCTCGCTCGCCAAGGAGAAGGCGGACAAGATGTTCAAAAAGTGGGAGCAGGCCGTCGAGATGTCGAGGGGCTGGGTGACCAACGACCTGGAATAGAGCAGCAGTCCCCCCCCTCTCTTCCCCCGCTTTGTGTAGATAACCGAGTGTTTGGATTCTGGAGTTGTTGGGATACAGAAAAGAAAAGGAATACAAAGCAGAGCAATTGTTTTTCCTTTTGCCTTTCGGATGGATGTTGAGACAATACCCGGAGTGCTTGGTTTGGTTTAGACAAGGATACCTATCAAATCAGTTTCTCTTGCTCGTGTACACCTCGCACCTGTCCCACTCGGGAACTGATGGTCTTGGGCCGCTCCCCCCAGGTTAATTCATGAGATGCTCGCTTGGAGTGCTCATTTGTGTGCATGAGCACGACGGACCGTCACTGAATACACTGTTGCGCGCATCGAATCCACAGGTATCGTATTTATTGTCATCTGTCTCGGGCAGGACCCAACAACTCGTGGGTCGCTCCTTGCTCAAGACATTTCCAAGGGAGTATCCTTCAAACCGGAAGAGCCTTCGACCGTCATTCCTTCTCAACTCGTAGCAAATGGGACAATCATCTTTCCCAGGAAAAAAAAAAAGTAAACAGTAACATGGCAAAGCAAAAGTGCTTTTTTTGCGCTCGCCGAATGATCCCCCTTGCCGACGCCAGCCCAAAATGTGATTGTTTGGTTTTCGCCGCCCGTTTCTTTTTAAGCTCTCGGGACTCATAAGAGTGGAGTGGTGTAAATCGTATCGCAACTTGGAATTAGAAGGTCGATAAGAACAGGCGCACAGAAAGAAGTATAAAAGAGCTCGGGCCTCGGGCTGATATATCCGGGGCTAGGTATGGTGTCCATCTTGGATGTAGTTGTTTACATGATGATGGCGGGAATGTCGACATTGGCCTTGATGCTCTTATGGGGCAGAATGCTGCCGCCGTTGACGTAAATCTCGTCGCCAATCGTCACGTCGTCGCCGAGAACAGTGACATTCTCCAGACGAGCCCACTTGCCGACGGTGCTGTTCCAGCCAACAATGGTGCTCTTCACCCAGGCGTGATCCTTGACCTTGGAACCGGGCAGGAGGACACAGCGCTGCAGACGGCAACCGTCGCCGACAACGACGTTGGGGCCGATGGTGACGTTGGGGCCGATTTTGCAGTGCTTGCCAATCTTGGCAGTGGGGTCGATCAGCACGTTGCCGCCGTGGACGTACGGCTCCGATGGGGAGGCGAGCTCCTTGGAGCCCTGCTTGGTGAGTGAAGTGAGGTACAGGCAGGTGCCGGTGAGGAAGTCCTTGGGCTGGCCGACGTCCATCCAGAAGCCCTGGAGGTCGAAGCTGTGCAGCTGGCCGTCGCGGACAATGGCGGGGAAGGTTTCCTTCTCGATGGAGGTGGGACGGAGCTCGATGCGCTTGAGGACGCTCGTGTTGAGGATGTACATGCCGGCGTTAATGCGGTTGCCGACGAACTCGACGGGCTTCTCGACGAAACGGTCGATCTTGGTGGCGTGGCCGGGCTTGTGGACGACAACGCCGTACTTGGAAGGCTCCTCGACCTTTGTGACGACAATGGTGCCTTCGTCGCCGTGGTTCTTGTGGAACTCGGCGAGATCCTTGAAGGGGAAGTCGCAGATGACGTCCGAGTTGAGGACGAAGAAGGGGGAATCGTCCTTGGCGAGGATATGCTCGGCCAGCTTCAAGGGGCCGGCGGTGTCGAGGGGCTCGGTCTCGATGGAGAAGGTAATGGTGAGGCCGAACTTCTTCTCGTACTGTTGTTGAGTTCCGCGTCAGTATTAGTCGGCGTAGGGGTAGCTCGTGGGGGGGGGGGGGGGGGGGGGGGGGGGGGGGGAGACGCACCTCTGCCAAGTGCTTCTCCATCACCTCGGGACGGTAGTTGACAGCAAGAACGACATCGGTGACACCGGCGGCAGCGAGGGCCTCGATCTGGTGCTCAATCATGGGCTTGTTTCCAAACTCGACCAGGGGCTTGGGGAGGGTCAGGGTCTGCGCATCGGGAGCGGAATCAGCAAGCATGTTCTGCCAAGGGTCTGCAGCAGGTGGCGTCACTGGCGGCGATGGCCATATGCCGCGCGTCAAGCTGGGAGAGGGGGTTGTGGGCTCACCAGAGGGCGAAGACGAGTGCCGAAGCCGCCGACGAGGATAATGGCTATCGTGCGCGTGCGTTAGCATGTCTGTGTCGATGAGACGGCCGGCTGGGCGGTGCCGTGGCTGCCAGCCCTGTGGGCGCAGAAGCAAGCGGCGAGGCTGACTCTGGCTCTGGTTCTGGCAGGAGGGGCAGGCAGGCAGGTAGCTATCCACCTAGGTAGCTATCGAGGCCGAAGGAGGTAGTGCTCACCCTTCATCTTGGTGGTGTTGTGTTTGGGGGGGTTATGCGGTTTGGTTCAACGTCGGTTAGTCGAGTAAAGAGAGTAGTGTTGCGACGGCCTTCGTGGAGGTGCAGTGCGGAAGCAAAAACGAGTGTATGGATGGATGGATTGGGGGTGGAAAGGGGAAGAAGCTCTTCTTCCTTTGGCACAAAAAGGTAGCGCGACTGGTCGAGTATGTTCGGCAAAAGCGACAAGGGGTAGGTAAGCTTCCGCTTTCGGGGGTTTCTTTCGCAGAGCAGAGCAAAGTTGCAAGTTGCAAGGAGGAAGAGCAGCGAGTGCAATGAAGATAATAACGAAGGAGGAGGCCGATGAGGGAAAAAGGGAGGTGGAGAGCGAAGAATGCCAAAAGCGTCCAGAGAGACAGACAGACAGACGGGTAGACAGAAGGAAAGACAGACACAGTGAGTGAGTGCAGTGTACGGAGTAGTGCAGTGGCAGAAACGAGAAAGAGGCGCAGACGCTGGCCAGGGTGGTGAGGACAGGAAGGAAGAAAGGGACTTTGCAAAATGACACGACATCATCCCAGGACCCTGGCTATTTGGTACTGCGTACGGGTACGGATACAGCATACCTACCTGGGCACAGAGCGGCACAGCTTACAGCCACACACACATGCACGTACCCCTCTGACTGGCTCTGGGGGAGGTACGACAAGGAGGCTAGGCCAAGCAAGCAATCAATTGGGGGCAATCACGGCAGAGAAGCACAGGGCACCCAAGGGAAGGGAGGAAAGGGGCCCAGGGGTGTTAAAGCAGCAGGAACGGGTACACACGCTACCGGCTGCACTCCGGTACCAACGTACAACTACTACTACAGTACCTTGGGTAGTATTCATGTACGTGTCAACCGCCTTACTGCTACTACTAGGTGAGCCAAGGAAGGTAAGTAAGGCAAGGGATCTGGAAGGTTACTGTTCTAGACCTTTTCCCTTGTTCTTTCTTCGTTTCGGCGTCTTGTCCCAATCAGACTATCATCTGTAGAGATGGCGATGCATTAACCTAACCAACCTGGACCTACTTACGGTACATGTGTCTGTCTGGATGGATGTACGGATAACGTTTACGAGACGGCTGGAGATAGGTACCTACCTACCTACATAGTACATCGTGCACTACATACCGAGCTACCGTACTCATCCAAGACACACTGAGATACGTACCGAAGCCCAATGTAAGATCCCATCCAATGGTCTCCCACCATCGTACAACGAAGCTCAAGAAAAGTACCATGCCTTACGGTAAGGCCACGCCTCAACACCCGGCTGTCGGGGGCAGGGTAGGGGGGCCATTACCTACTGCCACCTTGACTTTCCACGGTGGACTGTCTGGTGGTTGAGTCACTAGGTAATTATACGATGTACATCTATCCAGAGCCATATCTATTACGGATCACGACCTGCGTTGCTGTTCGTGTGCGCACACTTAAATACCAATATGGCCGTGCATACCTAGGCATCCTCATAGGCATGCATGGGTAGATAGGTATGTACTGGGTAATACAATGTACATACCTACATGCCGATGTAGGATATACTAGTACTGAGTATCCGTACTGTCTGCGCCTCCCCCTCTGACCCCCAATTTCCCCTGCCGAAATTGATCAAATTGTTCATGCCTTTTGCCCCCCACCCCTTGCTTCTTGCTTGCCTTGCCCCCCCCCCTCCGGGTCCCTGACCGTGTCTGTCTGCCTTGGACCGCTCCGAAACCTTCCAGCGGGAGCCCATGTAAGGGCCCCCTCTCCCTATAGACCGACGACACCTGACCCGTGCCCCCTGCTGAATTCGAGGCTTTTTTCTTTTCTTCTTTTTTTCGTACATGTTCCCGCGGGGTCTTCAATTATCGATCGCCATTGCGGGGCCGTCACGCGGACCGGAACCTGACGAAACAGCAATTGCCCTCCAATACCCTCCAATACCCTCCAACAACGGACCAAAGAGGGCGTGGCGGATGCGCGTCGTCGTCTTCTTCAACCGCCTTGTGTGGCGCTTGACGCCCACAGCCGTCGCAGTTACGAGGAACATGCAATGATTCCTTCCCCTCCCTTCCTTACAGCAAGCGGCCTTTTGCATCTTATCCTTCTCCTTCCCCTCGGCGCTTTTGTCTCTGATTGGATGTCGCAGATCAACCCGTCCTGCACGTGCATGCTTGTTCCACGCATCCCTAGCTTCCAGGCTTATTCCAACATCTTTCTCTCCCCTTCTCCCTCCCTTTTGGTCTCCTGATGCGACAGAAACACGACGAATTCACACCCCACATCATCATCGTCGTCGTCGTCGCCGCAGAAATCACCCGGTGACCTCGAAACAGAAAGCGGGCCCTCTTTAAGCGAAGCCACAGCGCCCACAACAGAGATGCAACATGCCACATGATGTTCGGTACGTGTCCAACTGTTCTCGGACGCCCCAGGAAGCGGCTCCTACTATTCAGGGGGACAGTTCCAAGGCGCAGAGGTGGAGGAGACACCAGACGAGGCCAGATGAACCGGCGTGACAATCAATGTACGGCTCTGAGAAGACGCAAAACCCACAGCACTTCAACCCACATCCCGGAACCGCCCGGCGTCCGACTCGGCCGGGCCATCCAGGCATGCATCGCAGCTTCGTCATCCCTCTCTCTTCCACAGTGATGAGCCTTCAGCGCCGGCCACCAAGCAGGCCTCCCTGGTCTAGCACGGAGGGAAACCCCCTTCCATTCCCTGTCAGAGAGATTCGCAATCCCAGCACGTCACACGGACTCCCGCCCGTCTCAATACACAGAGAAGGGGAAAATCATCCGAATCCGCTCCCTTCTCAAACTCGACTATGGCAGATCCTGAAAAAAAAAAATGAAAAAAAAAAAAAGTCAATGACTTTGCCGAGGTCGAGATCATCAACAGGTCGATCTCTGCGAGTGTGCGACAATCCGCCACACATGTCTTCTCAGCCTACGGACACCAATACCTAGCCCACCATCCAAAAGTCGTCCCGTCCGATTCAAACAAGGTGATAGTTCGGAACGATGCCGTGCAGCCTTCATTTTCTTTGCTTCTTCCGTGTTTGGAACGCCCGCCGAAGGTGTTCTCCCTTCCTCCCCAGCTACAGCTTCCCAAGTCCATCACCCATCTATTGGAACCAGCAGCGCCTCCTAATCTAAAGTGTATTACATGCCACGTTGCCGAGCTCACTGATGAGCGGTCCTTGGACGTATAACACACAAACACACACACTCACACTCACACACCCTTACGCAGCAGCACACACACCACCAGCGCGCGCACGCATTCAATCACAATCACACTCGCACCCGCATGTGTGTGTGGCTGCTCCTTGCATGTTTCCACGTTGCGTCGTTGCGCCCACCGGGTTCAAGGTGAGCCATCATGTCTCAGAGGCCTCTGGAGCATGGCAAGCCTTTCCCTCCCCCCTTCTTCATCCCGTCCCTCCCTCCAGTTCCACGTCCTCGGCTCCTCGGCGCCCCTCCCCCCCCCCTCTTACCCGTCGGCAGGCGTTCCGTACGCAGTCCCCCACCTCCCGTTGGTGGCCGTTGGCGCGGAGGAAGGGGGCAACGTCGGATCCGTTCCTGACAAGACGCGACAGACTACTTGCTCTCACCCCGGCGTGGCGCGTAACGTCGTTCGTCGTTCGTCGTCATACATGGCTCGTCCTTTCTCTCACATCGACGGTCCCGAATCTCATAAACACCAAATAGGCTCAAAAACTTGTTTTATTTCATTCCCCCCCCTTCTTGTCTCTCCGTTCTCGCAATCATATCATGGATCTTTAGTCATCATGGTCGTCATCATTATCATAGGCGCCGCGGAAAGCGTCGCTGGAAAAGAGAACAGGTGGAAAGGGAAAGAAGTAGAAAGGAAAAAAAGGGGGAAAGAAGAAGAAGTGCCGTAGGATCATGGAATCCATCCTCCTCCACGTCCAGCCCATGAATGCTTCCCCTGGGAGAATCCACATCTCATCACGTCCCTCCTAGTTCTTCCGAAGTTGTGTCTTTCCCTTTCCCTCTCAAACCTTCTCCAACCCAACCTCCTAAGCCATCCGTCCGCAGGCATCAAGATCTGCCTCCGCCTCGCCAAACTTGAAAGAGCCATCTGCACCTTGCTAGATTCGGCTCATGAGAACGGGTCTCGGAAGGAGATACCCGTCCACGCGATACACCCTTTACTCTCGTCCAAAATGCCAGAGAAAATTACGCTTCGCTTTTTGAGGCAATGAAGGGGGGTCGCTTCCTTTTTTTTTTCTTTCATGAGCCATTCTTTTTGTCATTGCCCCCCCCCCCCCCCCCCCCCCCCTTCCTCCCCCTTTTTTGTCTGTCTCGTGAGCAGGAGCGCAAAGAGAAAATAGCAAAAAATACTGCCGTGCCGCGCCCCGCGGCTCCAGCCTGAAGTCTAGCCGCCCCATCATGATCTTTTGTTGCAATCTTTTGTGGTGAAACGAACGAATACGAGAGAGGAAAAGAAGAAGGGAAGAAACAAGAGCAGGTCGAACCCATTGAGTACCGAGCCCAACCATTGGAGAACGACAGCGGAAAACGTCAAGAGCGAAATGGATCGTCGATCAGCCAGAGTCGCCTCGGGCTGTTGATCCGTTCAGAAGTAGCGGACGGCCTTTTATGACTGGTACTGTACAACCCCAGCCAAGCGCCTCGTCATAAAAAAAAAAGGTCTCGAAAGAGCTTGAACGATTCGGTAGGAAAAGAGGAGAAAGAAAGGGCCCAATGGTTTTGTCCGTAATTCGAAAGTGACCGGCCGGAAGAGGTATGAAGCGCAGGAGAGCAATGAAAAGATGGAAATAGAAGATAAACCAAATATGCCGCGCGGGAACCATGAGTCTAAGTCGTCAAGTCGTTATGAGTCGTTGCCAGTGCAAGATTCGCATTGCTTTTTACCAATATTGGCCCATCTCTTCCCCCCCCCCAAGCCGGGTGCCTGGGAGGTGTTGATTCGTCTTCGTCCGTATGCTCGGATTTTGTGGCCGGTCGATGCCTCTTATAGACACCACCGACTGCCCTTGCTACCAAGTCGGGCAGGGGGTAGGCACAGTCTGCCGGTCCATCTCAGTCAAAGGAGGCCGTGGAGCTGCTGCTAGAATGGTGACCGGATCGACGGTGGCTGTCTCTCGAGCTGTGACTGGATGATGTGTGCCGGCTCTTCTTGGAACGGCGGGGAGTCTCAGTGGCTGGTAACCCCTGAACGATGCCGTTGCGAGCAAGCATGCCACCATTGACCGAGAAGTTGCGGCAGACCATGAAGGCACGCATGGCGGCGTTTTCCTGGGCCAGCGAGTCTGATTCGTACGCGAGATCCGTTTGGTACTCTCGCCCGTTGACCAGGACCAGGCAGGTATAGCCATTGTGGTCCCGGTAGCACTCGTAAGTAGGGTCCATCCATCCACGTCGTCGGCAAAGGCCTAGAATACATCAGTTAGTCCCCTGGTCTTTTTTTTTTAATTTATTTTTTGTCAGATTCACTCCCTATCATGATGATGGCAGAACTGAACGGGATCGGCGAGGCGATGAGTGATGTCTGCATCCGAGCCCAACCCAACTCGCACCGTTTTCCATCTACACTTGGAGCCCTGCGTGCCGTTCCTTGGGAGGGAGCCGCAACACGAGGCTAACGTCGATCACGGGGCGAGAAGCCACGCCCCGACTTGTCAAGATCCGTCAGGGTCCAAGAAACGCATGTCATTCCTGCGTCTTGAAAGCATGCAGGGGTCGGCACACGATCTGACCCGTTCGCGACGGACAGCCCCACTTATACAGACGATGGTGAAGAGGAGGTTCAGGGAAGCATTGGGCTCTAACAAATCATCTACAGAAATCAATTGATGACTTACTCTCAAGGTACTGCATGTAGAAGCCTCCCATATTGGCGGTGGTTCCCAATGGGTCGATTAGGAGGTAGGAAGGCGGCTCGGAACTGCAGGTTGAGTGCGAACACAGGGCGGCCGGTGACAGGGGGGAGGACGTTGTCTCAAAGCCGGAGCGGGAGAAAAAAGTGAAGCAAAAAGAGAGAGTAGTCGAATCTTAGCCAGACAAGGGGATCGATGTCCGGACGCCGTGAGATGCAACCGAGCCCAACGGTGAGGCGAGCAGAGAGATCTGTGGTTGAGGACGGCCTGGGCTTGCACGCACTCCACGTACCACACGCCGAACTGTCTTTTTTGGGGGGGTTGTATGTAAGGCGTAGGGCAGAAATCTGGGGCGTGCTCGGGGGGTCGGCGAGTATGTATGAGTTGACTCAACGAGACTAAAAGAAGAAGAGCTGGGGCCGGTCGGGTTTCGATTTGTTTTCGTGGTTTCCAGGTCGGAGAAGTAAGGCTTGGGGGAGGGTATTGGGAGACGGGGGGGGGAACAAGATGAAGAAAGCCGGTGGAAGGGGTGTTGTTGATGTGTTGTAACTCGTGAAGTGTGTGTGTGTGTGCGCGCGTGTGCGTGTGCGTGTGCGTGGTGTGTAGTGGGTGGGTAGTGTTGTAAGTTAGGCTACGTATCCAGGGCTTCCGCTTCTTGGGTCGCAGGAAAGCATCGGAGCCATGAATGGCGAGACATGTGTCTGCTTTATTGCAGAAAAGGGTGCGTTCCCTTTCTCCCCCTCCTCTCTTCCTCTCTCGTGCTCTGGGCTTGTTAATGAACTAGTGCGGGGGCAGGGGGAGGGGGAGGGGGTGTAGGGGTGTGGTCCAGCGACAGATCCCGGGTCCAACATCAACATTTGTAAAGGTACATCAATCAACCTGGCAACGATACCATCCGCAGCAGTGCGTGGTAATGAGAGCTACGGCGGCAACGGCAGGAAATAAGCGAAAGAGGGTATGCACGAGGTGGACGACGACAAGCAGCAGGGCGTCTAGGTAGGTAGGTAGGTAGGTAGGCAGGCACGTAGTAGTAAGTAGGCAGGCAAGAAGGTAGGTACCTCAGCCCTGGTGGAGGTTATGGAAAGAGAGACGCCGAGTGGACAGGGAATAGGAAAAATCGGGCACTACCTACGGACGGAAAGTACACAACGGGGTGGTTCTCTTCTTCCCCTTCTCCTTCTTCTTCGTCTTCTTCGTCTCCCCCCCTCCTTCCTCTCCTCGGTCTTTTGGGCTCGAGATGCAAGCGGCGATGCGGCTCTCGAAAGAGTGTGACCCATGCTTTGCTGCGTTGGCTCGTCTCGTTGCCAGTTGATAAAAAATCACTGGAGGCCAGACAACTCCACACACCAATGCTCCAAGGAGGGGAGGGGGGGGTACCAGCATCATCGCTGCGCCAAGGGCCGGGGCAGCCCAGACGAAGATCTACCTCTGCTGAGAGGTCGGCCCCCTCCCCCTGCTCGCCTGTTTAGTAGCCTAGTGGCCCGATCCCCCGGTCGCCCATCCTCGTGTCCCTGGGCTGTAGCGAACGAGTATCAGGGACCATTGCTGTAGAATAGCAGATGGTGATTGTACAAGAGGGAGTGCCCGATAACCTTTTCCACCTCGGGGACCTTGCCGACCATGATACTTCAGATGCTTCGGGTGCTTCACCGTCTTGGGAGCCCCGGCTCTGAGTTATTATCTGTGCAACCGCCGGTCGTGCCGCCGACCATGGACCGACTTGCACTTCCTTCGGCTTTAAAGACGGCTTGTGGTTTGCTGACGGCATCGTCGTCAAGCAAAGGCGCGCGCCTCCGTCTGCAAGCAAGCAGTGTGTGTACAAGCCTACATGATCGAAACTTTGCATCTAGTCTCTCTGACCGTGTGTGGCCCGCCGGGTCGCATAGCGGGCTGCTTTAGCTGCTCTAGGGCTACGTACAGCGGACAAAAGGGCCAGTTCTGGCCGGAGGCGAAGGAAGACCGACAGACGGAGAAGGAGGGGGTTAAGACCTGAAGAAAAAGGCAACCACCGACGAGGGATTTGCATTTTCAAAGCCGGTGGCGAAATGCAACCATTCGGAACGGCAGGACCCAATCTAATGGACCGGCTTCGTTTGGCTGTACCCTGAGACGACTCGCACGACAACCGTATTTTGTACAGGAGCATGCCAAGTAGTGGGCCATGAACTCAGACCCAAGTCGTTGTTCCTTACAGCGTATGTATAGTAGTCTCTGGACAAATTGCCTTTTTGGCTGATGGCGAGTCAAAACGCCACGGCATGCTTATTTGACTCTTCTGCGCTTCCTGGGAGGGATATGCCTGGTAGCAGCTGGACGGCACTACCTACTCCACTGAGCTTGTAGAAAGACAGAGGACGACTGGTATAAAAAATAAAAAATAAAGCCCCAAGCTTGTTGTGCGTTGACAGCGACTCATCATGTGCTCGTATCAGGGGTGCGAGCTTTTCTATTTCATTTTATTGGGGAGAAAATCCCTCCCCTTCTTCTTCCTATTCTCCTTCTTCACCCTTGAGGCTTGTTGTCGTCGTGGTTGTCGGGCTCGGCGTGTTCCACCGCCAATTGTCCATTGCTTTGTCACTGATCCAGCATCGTGTTGCTGGTCGAGTCCGCCGATCATTGTACAACTATGCGTCTATATGTCATACGGTACGTACGAGGCCATGGACATTGGTTGCTGGGCTTGCGTGCATGTACAGACTGCAGTTGATTTCCAATGCTGCGGGGGTAATTTGTCGCATAAGGTGGGTTCGGACTCTGAGTTGTGTACCGCACTGTAATTATAGCAGACGTTGGGATCGAGTCCCCTTGCTCCGCTGGTCATTTACTCCATGGCAATGCTGAACCCGAGGTTGAGGCATTGAGACGACAGAGCCGGCAGCTTGGAAGGTGACATTGTGCTTCAACAGAGGAGGACCAAGAACTTAGGATCGAAGAACTGTCAACCGCTCCGAGTTCATCTGTGCCATGTCAGGCAAAGCCTGGCCGAGCCAATTGAAGCTAGCTGGGACAGGGGAACGACGGCGGTTGAATGGTAGGCGCCGGGCCCACTTCCGGGGATGGGCAATCCAGTGGCTCCCAATGATGTGCAGCGATGGCGGGCGGTTCATCGTCAACGTCAAAATCGTCAGTCAGGCTGTCTAGTCGCGCAGAGCAGCGGTTACGGCCAGTAAGAGATGACGAATATCGAAATCTCCTTCGAAAACGTCGACAAATCAGCTGCAGAGAAAGTAGGCCACAGCCGATGGGTCATGTATCTGTACACCAGCAAAGACCCCTTGCGATGACGGAACAGGGTGCCTTCATGGGGCAGCGAATCAACGGTCGTTGGACGGCCGGTCGGTCGTTAGCCCGGGGGCGTAAGCCAGGGTGCCGACTAAAATAGAGGCCAGTAGAGAGAAGAGCGAAGAAGAATAGACGTGGGCAAGGGACGGTTGGCGGCGAGACGCTCGCTGCTCCTCGTAGACTTGCTGCCGCTGCTGCAATTGTTGCTGCCACTAACCACTTTCATGGGAGGTTGAGTATCGTTCCCCAGGCCGAAGGGAGCTTGATGGGACGTACCTAGAGACCAATTATATGAAGGGCGTTTGGTAGCCAACCACGGTCAACGTTCATGGCCCCCTCCCGGCCGGCGTCACAGTCCCCCGCGGACAGGATGCTGAGGTCGGTGAAGGGCTCATCTCTCATTGCTGCGAGGGGCATGGACGACGTGCATGAACCCTCCAAGCACCGAGGGCTGGCTGTTGTGAGTGGGTTCGACGGGGCGAGATCCACTGACGCGAGGAACTATGTCGAGATTGGAGTGGGATGAGAAGCATGGGGCTGATGGGGGTGTGCGCTGGCGGGTTGCACGTCGAGATTTCATATGCAAGAATAATGTCGCTCTGCGCTTCCCACTTCTTCCCTCCCTCTCCCTTTCTGGGTTATGTATGTGTGTGTGTGTGTGTGTGTGTGTGTGTGTGTGTGGGTGTGTGTAGCGAGAGTTGCAGCAAGTGCCGCATGGTACTTGAATCAACCGAGAGCCACCATCTTGCTGTAGGATGAGGCAAAAACTAAATGGCACGAGAGGATAGACTTGAAAGGTTAGTATGGAGGGGTTGGAGGGGCATAAAAAAATAAAATAAAATAACAAAAGAGGCCGAAAAGCCACGCGAACGCAGACCGTTGGACGGCCATAAACGGACAACGACGGTGACAGGACCGAGAGGGGTGGGAGGACGGAGATAGTGACGGACGGCGAGAAGCCACAAGTATTGTAAGGTCAGGCAGAGACGGATGCTTGGAGCTGGGGGGGCTCTGAATGATTGTCGTCACTGCTGCTGCTCCTGAGCGTGGGGTACGAAGAAGAACCTCGGTCGTTGAGTATCATTTGTCCCCTTGTATCCGTATAGGGTAGGTATTTACGACGCATCAAAGTACAGTTACTACATATTATTATCCACCATCCATGGAAAGAGGCGAGTACAGATACCTTGGACGCGGTCTTGTTTGTAGCAGCCGCCGCCGCCCAGCCATATGCAGCGCAACGGCCGGTTGGTGCGTACACTACACGGTAGTGCGCGCGCGGAAGAGGGAAAAAAAAGCAAGAAAGAAAGAGAGGTATAAAAAATAAAAATAAAAGTGTAGCCCCATGGAATGCAGGTCATGCAATGATGAGTTGGCAATGCCGCTGGACGGTGTTGCTTTAATGGAGCTGGGGTGGCAGAAGCGAGGAAAACAAGGCCTGCGAGACCTCGATCCAAAAGGCAAGGTACTTTGACTTGCTTGCATCTCTTTCCCTCACCTGCCTTATTGGCTTTACCTGAGATGTCAGGTGTTCTCACCTCCAAGTCCACCGGTGCTGCCTTGCGCCTGGCATCTATCTGCATTCGTAAACTCTGGTGCTCGGCAATCCCTCCCTCCTAGATGCACCTCCTGCCGTCCATCCCACCCCCCGGTTCGCAACTGCGATCTGGCAATGCAATGCAGGGCAAGCAGCGTAGAGGCCGCCAATGGCTGGTGGGCACTGTAGGGCCATGCACGTTGGGTTAAGAAAAGGTTAGATTGATGGAACGGAGAGGTTGGCAGTTTGTGGCGTGCAGCTTGAAAGTGCAGGAAAGGAAAGGATCGGTCAGCGAATTGCCCGTGCCTTCTTCCCGAAGCAATATGGAAGCGGGAAGAAGGAGGCGCCTCACTCTCTCATGCTCACAATTCGTACCTTCCTCCCTCCCCACCTCCACGCCTGCCTCCTCCACTCGCTTCATAACCGGTTGGATCGTCGTCGCCGTCGACCGCGGAAGTTATGGCTCATCGTTTCGTTTGATAACGTAAGGTAGCCACAGAAGAATCCTACCTACTTTCCCTCCATGGACCTTCCTTGACAAATTTGCGAAGCTAATGAAGCAGGGAAGGTGCTACGAACAAGGATCCCATCCCGCCACCTGATTCGACAATGGCATCTTTCTGGAACCCTGTCGTCGTCTCTTCTTCTAGTACCGGTATATCTGCTAGGAGTCGAACTCTTCCTCCGGCTATCCCCTGCGTCCTACCTTTAGGGGAATGACGGAGAGAGAAAGTGACATGACGTGACTTGGCAGGCAGGAAAAGCAAGCAATACGTCGCTGCTTCCCTTTGAGAAGCACCTTATGCGGAACACATTTCTATGGCCAACTTCGGGGTACTACTTTCCCTGCTATTGCCCCACCTATAACGCGCATGTCTCTATTAAATCATGTCAAACTCGAGTTCTGTATAGACCTCTGCGAGAACCCTACAAACCAAGACGTGACCCAACGACCCTTCCGCAAGCACGGCTGTTCGGATGTCCGTCTACTTGGAAAAAAGAGAAGGAGGGGCGAGGGACTTCTCCAGAGAGGCCTCTCACTCTCACAGTCTCGGTTCCTCTGGCCGTCCTTTGTTTCACTGGGTCCATCATGAGACGTTGTCAATCCGCAGCATCCATAAGATCGGGCTTTTTGTGACCACAATATGCGGGATCCGGCGGCTCGGGAATACCAATTTGTGATTACGCTGGCGTCCCGCTTGTGTATCATGTACTACACGGTCTACACCCCATCCAAAGCTGGCTGACCTGACCTGGCTCAGTAGCTATTGACAAAGGGGTGTGAGGGGCGAAAAGGAAAAATCAACCAGAGGCATCAGGGACCCCTCTCTTTGCCAATCCATCCCACACACACACACACACGCACAACACCACCTCCACCTGAAGAAACAACACATCTGGCCTTCTTTCAACGTCACTCGCATCCCCAAGGTGGCATATGGATAAAACGCCATCGATTACACCCACCAATGGACCCGGGAGGATGAAAGAGGGGGTTCGCCATAGTCCAAAAGGGCGCCGGTCCGCGAAGTGACTCCCGCGTTGAATCCATGTCGCACCACATACCAGACCGCCGTTCCGCCCTTTGGCCTACAGAAAACCACGCCACGCTATCCTGTGACCTTCTCTATGTCTCCGTTCCACTATGTGACGCGAGAGCAGCATAAGCATGCCGCTCACCGTCAAGTCCAACCTGGCGGATCCAATCTCAGCATCTTCTTGCCCTTGGCCGTACCAGCCAGCGACGCGTCCTGTCTCTTGTGGTAAGTGGGAAGCTACATCACTTCTCGAGGCACGCGCGGCCAGTTTCGGCGGTCATAGACACGACTCAGAATCGTCTCAGCTCTCGTTGCTCTCCATATCAGAGACCGCCGAAAAAAGAGGGGCCGCCTGCGTCTTGTTCATGTATGACAACAAGAGCATCTGCGCCCAGGCCCTGTGCGCTGCTGTGAGGCGAGATGCGCCAATCCAACCTCGCATGGCCGCTATGGGTCGGGTCATTCTGCTGGGGTTATCCACCTGGCTCGCAGCAATTAACACTCTTCTCTTGTTCGATCTACTGTGCCTATACGCACAAGAAGGCCGATCTAGTTAGTTTCTCTTGCTTCTAAGCGGTGTCAGGGCTGGCTGGGCTGGCCTTTCTCGGACCCGCCATCCCAAGATAAGCATCCAAGTCGTCCCATATCATCCTCACAGTGCCTGCATATAGTTACGCGTGAGTTGTCAGATACACGACAACCGCACGACAGAGACATCAAATTGGCCTGTTGCAGCGGCCCATGACGGGCCAGCATGCCCGCCGACACAACTCTCAACAGCCGGATGCTGTTGCTGGTCTGGAAAGAAGGGTGTCTGCTGCTTATTCCGAATCGCGGCGCCACGACCTAGTGGCCGCGAAATGTACATCATCACCCCAAACCGGGTCAGCCTAACGACCTGGGATAGATGGTGAGCGAGGTGGGTGAGGTACAAGCCGAACTGGACCTGCGCTGGCGGCCGGGTGGCCTCGTTGTAGGCCAGAAACGTTGTTTTGATATGTAATATCTGCTTCCGTGACACATCCATTCACTCCGTGCAGGTTATACGTTCGACTCAAGTGCTGCAGCTAGCGCATGGATTCCTCATGCAACTCGGCCTTTCGGGAGGCCCAACAAGGAACTCGAAATGTATAATCACGACCGCCACCGCCGCCGCCGCCGCCGCCGCCGCCACCAGTCCTTCTGCGCCGCCGTACTGCCGTTGATGAGTTGTCCAAAATATCACATACGACCCCTGTCCAAGATCTCCTTTTTATGCCGCCGCTCGGGCTTGAGCTGCAGGCGCCGCTCCGTCGTGTTCGTTACGCAGACCCACTCCCTTTCTTTTTTTTCCCTTTCTGGTGGTCTGGGGCAGTCGATAGGCGCGTCTTCGACAATCGCCGAATTTATCACGGAAACATCCCCGCCGCCCTACATAGCCCGGCCCTCTCTTTGTCCAGTTCACGTGACACAGGAAGTCAGATGTGCCTCTTCCTACCCTCCCTCTTATACATAGAGGGGGGCCGGCCGCCTTGAAGGCGGCCATTTTTTTCGGTGGCGGGAATTCAGAACCCCTGTCTGGACGCAAAATACGCCATCATGTCGTCGACGCTATCCTGGGGGATGGTGTAGACGGGGTGGATCGTCCCGACGCGGTCCTCCTCGTCGAATATCTGTGTCCCATCGGTACTGGGCGACACCACCCACTTGGGCTCCGGCAGGATTGTGTCATCTTCGTCGACATATGTGAGATCCCACTGGTGCTGCGCTGAGCTCAGTCCCGAGAGGACATAGCAAGTGTGGTACGCATCCGACGGCCTATATTGTTCGAGAAAATCAGCGATAAACCTTCCGCGGAGGCAAGCACTCGATCGCCATGTCTCACCTGCTTGGCTTGTCGCGAAGGCCACCACGTTTCGACCGGTCCTGACCGCAGCACAGGATGTACCGGATCAGCCCTTCTCGGCTGTACCGGCTGCCCTGATGGGGAGCGAATCGACCCTCAGTTGGCTGATCCTCAAGCTCACTCGCACCCTTCAACACGGCGTCGATCAACGGCCAACACCCGCCAACCCAGTGGCTGTAGCAGCCGTCGACGAGCTTGTTTGTGCGGCCGCTGAAGCCGCCCTCTGGAGCGTACTGCCGCGACGAGAGCCAAGAGATAAGCCGTGAAACGTCAAGGTATCTGTCACCCGGGAAGCAGAAAGAGTCAGTTATGCGCTGCTTTCATGTCAACCCCTCAGTGGACGAGGGGGTGGGCTCACGGCTGGCCTGTACGTACTTTGGGATGATGCGGTGCGGAGTGTCCAAGATGGAGAGGCAGCCCAACGCGCAGAACGCATACGCTCCATGCGCTTCACCATCCGGCTTTCCCGATATTCCACCCTCGAACGTCTGGCCTTTATTGGGTGAGCACGGGCATGCGGGCGAGGAATAAGGCAACCGGGGCTAAAGCATGACTTACATCTGCGTACATAGTCCGCCAATCCAGTGAAGAGCGTGGGCCGCTCAGGCGTCCAGGCCGGCGAGTCGGTAGAAAGGTCTAGAGGGAGGTTCAGGAGGGTTACAATAACGGCTGCACAATATGCTCCCCTACAAACCTGTCAGAAAAAAAAAAGCAAACATAGCCACGCCGAGCGAGCGAGAAAGGGGGCCAGGGGTGGAAGGGAGAGCTGGTTGTCATGTCAAACCCACCTGACGTCTACTTCTCCACCCAGTGTCATCTGAATCCCTCCGCTAGGTTGTTTGAGGGAGCAGAGCCACCTCCACAGGGATTTCCTGTCTATGGCCTCGTACGCGTCCTCACCGCCGACGATGGCGAGGGCGAGGACCACGGCGTAGGTTGTAGCGAGATGGGAGTTCTGCCCGTGGCCACCGCCGATGCCACCAGAGGGGTTCTGCATGGTCCGCACCGTCTTGATCAGGCCCTCCCGGTACACCGCCGTGTCGTAGCCCAGCAAGGCCAGGGCATTGAGGGACCAGTAAAGGAACCAGGGGCGACTGGCATCGGCGGCCACGTAGGGGGCGGGGAACCGCCCTAGCTGCTTCTGGAGGAACCTAATGTGATTGTCGCGGAGCAGCGAGGGCACGCCGTGGGCGTTGTACTCGATGTCGCTGTCCGTCGCAGCCAGCAGTGGGACACACTCCCGCACGGTCTCGTCCTGGGCCTGCGACGTGGCCGTTGCGAGCGCATCGCGCACCGGGGCAGGCGTCGTGAAGAGGTCTGGCACGGCGGCGTTTGCCTCGATGCTCAGGACGTCGTCACTGGCGGAATCATCGACGAACTCCTCGTCCACGTCGCTCTCTGGCGGGCGTTGCGACGAACCGCCGGCCTGGGCCTGGGCTTGGGCCGAAGCGGCGGCCATGTTTGGTGCTGCGCGCTTGATGAAAGTGACTTTAGGACGGCGTTTGAGAAGTTTGATGCGGGGTCTCATCTCACTCGCGGCGGGAAATGGGAATATGCAAGTCGACTGACTAGTCGGTTCAAAGTCGCCACTCTCATTAAGGGGTAAGCACCTTTTTTTTTTTTTCCTTCTTCTTCAATATTCCATTTTTGTCGAGGTCAGGAAGAGTGATTCCAAGCCGAGAGCGCTGTTGCTTTGTGCAGTGACGATGAGAGCACCCCCACCTGCCAGCAGTGGTCGTGATGGAGTTCATAAAACTGGGCTCTCGTGCATTTGATTGGCCACTATAGCACCGCGCTATTACTAAGAACGGATGTCCGGTAACCACCAAGACATCAAATCATGATATCAAGCCTCAACGACATGCATATGGGTATAAAATTTGTTTTCCGTCTAAATGTAGCCGGGTGTAACGGTGCCAAGGTCGATCCACCAGGC